AAGTCTGTTTGTCGAAGCGAGGGATCCCTTCCTATCGTGGCCGGCAAAGCAAACGGATATTCAGTTTGAACATTACTTATTGGCGACGGGAGCTAACGGCTGTCATCCGTGAATGGACCTTCCATGTCCGGAAACATTTTGTCTTCGAATCCCTTTACATTTTATTTGTCTTGTTAGGTGTGCGTAGGTACGGCTACGGTCGTATGATTTTGGAATATTGGAGGAATCGGGCAGATAACAAGTATTTTCAGTAGACATGGTTTGGTAGTTTTGGAAAATTGGATTAACTGAGCTTTTCGACTTGAACTTCATATAATTTACAGTTCATATGACATATTTTTTCAAGTAAATGTAGTCTTTTGAAAGAAATAAGCAAAAGAAGGCAACTTTGTTATATAGTTTGACAATTTTGTTATAGTTTATAGGCAAAACGAATTAAAAGACTTTGTAGATAATTATTGACCGAGCGAACCTAGCGTTGCTATTTTAGGAGTCATCCATCCCACTCACATGATCGATGATGATGATGTTTTTTAAGAAACTTAGTATTCTTGGTCTTAGTTTTTAGACATTACCCGCTTTTGCCCGTGGCCCACCCCTTACGCAGGGTACCCTATGTCCTTCTCCGTATCAGACAACATGTTTGCAAAAGTTTAGGTACGATGATGGGTTTAACGGTGTCCTAATATTATCAGATACAGTTTTTTGACAATATATTTAAGTATTTTAAGAGAAGAAGTACTCGTTAAATGGTTACAAAAGTAGTCGTACGTACAAATTTGGGTCTAGATTTGATCATAACCAAATATTCAACTATGAAAGTTAGTGACTTCTTTTCTTAGCTCGATCCGATTTCGAAAATAGTAACGGATATAAACGTTGTAATGGATATTAATATAACGCCTGGATACAATGTCAATCTGATGGCATCCGATTTTAACCGACTTAGAAAAGAGGCAGAAGTTCTCATTTTTGCCATTTTTTTTGTTATTGTATTAACTCCGTATTTTATGAACTGATTTGCAACATTCATATTTAAATTTGAAGACAAGATACCACCACTGGGGTAAAAAATAAGGAATGAAGAATCCAGTTTATTACAATTTACCATGATGTGCCTACATCTTCTAAGAGCTTTCTACTTCAATGAGCCTGCATAGAAGTCGGTTATACTTTTTTAAAGTTAATTATCAAAAGATAGATCCTAATAGGTAATCGCATAAGGATAAAACATTTGTTTATTATTATTTATTTAAAACGACAACTACCGCTCTAGGAACAAATCCTGTGTCGCGGGGGACTTTACAGACATACATGAAACAGACACAAAGAACACCCAGACTCAGAACAATAATTTGAAGATCACACAAAGTGAAGTCGCATATGGGGATGGAACCCATAACCCTTAGCGCAATAGGAAGCGGCTAGGTGACCGCTTAAACCACTACGCCATCTGTACAGATTATACTGATCAATCAATATCAATTATTATATTGATAATTCCAAAAAAACTATGCAGGACAAGAGCGCTGCAAAGAGAAGGAAAACTTGACACAAACCTTATGCCAACCCGTCTGACTAGCGTAGTATAGTAGGCCAAAACCTCCTTTCTAAGGAGAGGTCTATGTCCAGCAGTGGACTATTATAGGCTGTTGATGATTTTAAACTTATTCTAAAAAAATCCTAATCACAACAAAAAAATGCAACAAAAATGTCATAAACCTAAGGAAAACAAAACAATAATCAACTCCACAGTGTTAAACGAACTGGCTTCAAACTGAATAGTCCAACAATAATATACGTAGGTACACTTGCCTACATTAGTTAGTGCGCATCACACTGTATGAAAAGCGATATCGTACTACAAAAACCACTGAACGAGATATGCATTGTAGGTTAATGCAAAAAAATATTAACTATGTATTAATTTCTTCAATTCATTTATAACTTCGGATTAGTGACATTTAGTAAAACAAATACTAGGCTTAAGTAGCAGTAAAAATGGTAGTACCTACTTACTAAAATATGTATGTATTTCAAAAAAAAGTATAAATGTATTTATATCAGTTTTCCACCCACAGTATTATACAAGCTCTGCTTAGTTTGGGACTAGATGGCGTTGTGTCAGTGTGGTAGAATATTATACGTCGAGTCCTCTTGGAACCATCAATTATATTGATTACATTAGAAGCTTATCACCTATAAATCAGGAAATTCAAAATTATGAAGGTTCAATCTCGCTACTCTTAATTTGTTTACTTCTAACATTATCCTTCTTTTTTCAGTAAAAAATGCCTTTATGGTGATTTTTTAAAGATTACTTGCAGTAAGTTACTAGTAAATGCAGTACTATAAATACAAATTTGTATAACTAAATGTGGCTTGCAGAATGCAGTTTCTGTAGAGATTTTATTGCGTGAAATTGGTGAATACAAAATCGACGACGTATGTTACCGAGATTTCTAGTCATTAAATCATTTCTAAGGAGAAGCCTATGTCCAGCAGTGGACTATTAAAGACTGTTGTTGAGGTGTGAATGTATTTAATGATATCGTAACAGGAGATTATGTGTGCACATTTACACACCTTAAAGCGTTAATCGTCGAGTGGGTTTAACTGTTGATTTATTGATAAAAGCCAAAGCCATGGCAGGTACTGTTTAAATAATTGGCATTTTTTTATAATAACAGCCGTCATTGATAACACTTTTATAAATACTAGTGTTAGTCTTCGAAATGCCTGACGTTTCGTTGCCGTAGTCACAGGCTGACGTCAGTAACTTAAAACCTAGGGTAAGTGCGCATTCCCGTAAAAACAATGAAATACTTTTAAATAAAAATCACTGAACATTATACCGTTGTTTGGCTGCACAGATGGCGTAGTGGCTTGAGCGGTCACCTCGCCACTTCCTATTGCGCCACAACACTTTGTGTGGTCAACAATGTACTGAGTCTGGGTGCTCTTTGTGTGCGTTTGAATGAATGTTTGTCAAGTCTCCCGCGACACAGGATATATTCCTAGTACAGGAGTTGTATTTCAAAGAAAGAAAGAAAGAAAGACCACAACAACTCGTTGAACGCGATTGTTGTACCTAATGCAGTAGCACTTCTAAAGAGAAGAGTTCTAAAGCACTGTAGGATATCATTTATGTTATAATAATAAGTAATAAAAAGGTTCATAGATTAGTTGATGGTTCAAATACGGATTTCATGGCAAATTCGTGAATATCCGATGGTCACAAAAGATCTGCATCCGTAACAGTATATGACTGCACGGATGGCGTAGTGGTTTAAGCGGTCGCCACGCCGCTTCCTATTACGCCGAGTGTTGTGGATTCAAACCCCACATGGAACAACACTTTGTGTGATCCACAAATTGTTGTTCTGAGTCTGGGTGTACTTTGTGTCCGTTTCATGTATGTTTGTAAAGTCCCCCGTGACACAGGATTTATTCCTAGTGTGGGAGTTGTCTTTCTTAAAACAATGCTTAAAACAAAAACAATAAAACAGTAGTAGAGAAAATCCGAGAATTGCAAAGATTTGTTGTGGAAAACATGTTTAGTATCAGTTACTTTTTGTATCTTAAACGGACCTTGCATAGAAAATTTGTAGATTTAAGGAAGTTAAAAAAAAATTTTAAAAAAAAAACTGTTTTAGGGAGATACTACCTATAACAAAAGTGGTCTCATAGTTACAAAAATTGATGGCCGCGGTAACGCATCAACATAGATTCATCAAACTGGACGAGCGTCGAAAAGTTATTTTGTAAACACTCTGGAACTACATTTTCTTGCTATTTCTTAATGTTCTGACAATGTATACCTATATGTATGCAACTATTTCATGATGATAGGTTCAGCAGATGAGGTTTAAAGGCGTGATACTTATGCGCATTGTTAATACAGGTAATATTATAGGGAGTATTTAACGACCCATCTACTTGGATTTTCAGTGAATGGATGTAGATTATAATTACGCGTTAATAACTATCATTTAATTTCCTTTATTAATAAATGTTATTGGCAAGTACCATACCTGGTACAAAATTGCTCCTAAAAGCCTGTGAACGACCATGGAGGCATTTGCGCTTCTGGAAGGAGTTTAGTTGGCTCACCTAATCAACCTCTTCTAGACGCATAAAGGAACACTCTCGTGTCTAAATGCGGAAATCGAAGCCCACAAGTAATACCAACAACCAATTAATGTTAGACCACTAGACCACTAGACTAGACCAAAGAGATCCGCAGACGGGGAATCATCTACTGCTCAATTAATGCCTAACTTTCTATTATTCGCGAATAATTTAACGAATAATTTGACATTTCAATGAACTTGATATAATTAATTAAGAACTTGCCAGTTAATAAAACTTCAGTTAAAAATTAAGTTAAACTAACTAACTAATAATATTTACCACAATTATTAAGAGTCCACGCAAACTGTTTTACCAGTTGAAGTTAAATATTTCATTTTTTTTAGAGTTCTGGTAAATGTGAACATAGTACTGATTAGATCCATGAATGTGGTAAGACACCCCGAAAAATATTTGTCCCACATCTCAAAATCTAACAGAAGATGTACATTGATGTACATAGAAGAGGTACTAAGTAGTGGTGATGGTTGAAAACGCAGGTTTTGTATTAGGTGGGTACATTTCTTAGTAATCGTAGATTATCGCCTCGCTATGTGGTGGTAAAGATTTGTACAACTAACTTTAATTTACAGCTAACATATGTGAGTTGAACAAGAAGGCAAATAGAGCAAAATGAGGCGATTAGGTATGGCAAGCGGTTTAGTTCCAATTGAGAACAATAGTTTGGGATATCATCGCCAAATTTGTATGAGGTTTCGCTAATCGCGCATGCAGCGGCCAATTTCTGCGTGAATGATCCGCCGCCGGGGGCTTTTGTACCTTGTCCTCGATTCTAATTGAAACTATTTTGGACGCAGGACAATGCAGCATTGTCCGCGTGTCCGGCGGTGTTTGCCGCCTTTATTAATTCAGGTGGGCGTGGTGGCGGGTAGGCGGGCCGGCGGGCGGGGCGTGCTCCAGACCGCCCATTGCGCGATGTCGCCGCGCGCGCCGTGCCGACGCTCACCGACAGTCGGTCTGTCGACGCCACGTCTGACGCTCATCTTGCGCGGACATCGGTACAACTTTTGAACTTCGCTTACGTCGTCAGATGCTCCACTAAACTTGTTAACTGACTTTGAAGGCTGTCACGTCTGTTAGACTGTAGCGGTATTGTCTAGGGACTAAGCTTGCGGTGTGCCCAGTGTGTGCCGGTGCTGTGAGCACTACAGCGGCTTGACACGTGCTTTTGACAGTTGCTGCACGGCCCCACACGCACGCCAAGTAAGTTTACTGATGAGAACTAAGTTAATTGTAGTTTAGGGACATTATTTATATTTTACTCTACGTATAAAAAATACAAAACGATACATTTTGAGAACAATTGAATCTACTTTAATCAGGATTGATTTTAATATTAAATAGTACTTATAGGTATAGGAGATAAAAAAATGATGAAACTAATGCGCTGCTTGAGAATATTGAGATTAGTAAAAATTAATAAAAAATGTCCTAGACGATTTTTATTTTAATTATTTTCCTTTTTCTTAAAAAAAATAAAGGCTCATTTATTTTGAAAAACAGAAAATACAAACAAACAAAACAAAAAAATAGTTAAATACCAATTTTTTGTTTTCTTATACTGAAGAGGAAAAAAAACTTAAATTTAAGCACAATCGAAAAAAAAAACGCTAAATACATTTCTCGGTTATCACGGTTTACTCAAAATTATGTTTTGATTACGTTATGTTCTTCCATTTCATTCTATTTAATTCGGCACTTTGCTGCTCATCTTTGGTTGATCTTGTCTCTTTGAGTCGTCACTAATACTCGTATGACAAGCTGTCTGAAATAATAAGTAAGTAAATATGGCACTCAGAAATAATGTTAAGAAACTGTACAAATGTATCTTCATAGAATAATTACTCAGTACTTATAAATAGTTACTCAATAGTTGTCTTAACACGTTCTTGTATGTTTAACAATTTTTAGTGACATAAAAATAAATTGAACAACTGTTGTTAATTTATAGGTAACTGTATAAACATTCTATTTTCGAAACCTGTTTTAAAAGTCATAACGGAACATTCTTTTTTTTGAAAAAAAGCTAAATCATATAAATATTCTCACGTCATTAAAATAACCCAGTAACCGATTTGAATGTCAACAAATCAGTCGTGGCTGACTACTTTCAAATAAAGTTTTTCCTGTCACAGTATAAAAATGTCCGCCCGCCCAAACCATGTTGTCCCTCACCCCGCGCTGCCCCCCTCCTGGAATCATCGCGGCATCGCGGCATTGCTGACAATGTCGAATCCGTTTTATTGCCAACGATCTTTTTATGGCAATTGGCGTGGATCGTTTTTCTATTTCGATTGGGGTGCTTTATAGTACTTAGGGTTTCTTGGCGTTTTTTTTATAAGGAAAATTCATTCCTATTCAATGTTTGTTTTGCAAACGAGATGGCTTATTAGCCGAACTGTTGTCTTGTTGAAGCGTGTTGATAAGCGGTTTGGAGATTTGATTTTTATAGAAATATATTCATATTTTGTAGTATCAAAAATTACAACAATTGAAGTAATTTATGAAGTCGCTAATGCATTGAGTTATTTAATGTTGAAAGGGACGATCAGCACCATAACTTTTTTTTAACTTATTTATCTACCGTGGATGGTAATAGACACAATAACATAATTTTGTTATTACTCATTTCTTAGAGACTCAGTTATTCATTTTGACGACTTTTGTCTCTCATTGAGAACAAGACGAGGGAATACTGTCTGTGAAGCCACTTTAGAACTTACCATTACACTAACTTGATAATTTTAGTTAAATCTCTTGTGAATTAGCAAAGAAATATCTTTCAGACAATTTAAAAAAAATAAAAGGTCTTACGGACAGATGTGAATTATCGAACCCTTTAGAAATAGTTTTATTTTTTCGAGATTTAATTTTACCACTTTTTCAACGTGATTGGTATTTATAAATCCATGAAAATACTGACAGCCTCCTAGTTGAGATGCAGTCGGAACAAATCTATGAAATGTTAAGGCAATAAGTCAAAAATGTATCTACTATTAGAATGTTTAGGACGATTCGGAATAAATGCAGTGCTTCATTTATTGAATTATACAAACAAATTTATTATAAAATGAATTAAAAGCGCCTGTCGTGTCTGCAATATATTGTATGTTTTTAGCTACTCTATTAAATAATACGGGTAGGTACAAGTCAACATGCCATTTTGAAAAGATATCGGCAGGCTGCAGAAAACTACATCAGGTGTCTTAATTCCGAAATAAGCTACTGTTTCCCAGGGATAGAAAATCAGGTTCCCGTGAACGAAACCTCGGGCAAACGCTTATAAGCGTATTTAAAATGTAAATATGAGCGTACAAGTGAAAGTCGAATAAAGTTGCACATTAAGTGTTCCGCCAAAGTAGGTAAAAACTTGTTGTGTATAATTTTTGATTTACAAACATTTATAATTAAGTCTTACCTAAACGTCTCTAAGGAGAGGCCTATGTCCAGCCGTAGACTATCTACCTATTACAGACTGTTGATGTGATGTGATAATTAAGTCTTAATTTCATTTTCAAAATTAAGGAAAAATCAACTCCTTTCAGACCGTTAATTCAAATCATAAATTTAAATCACATGATGTCATATTTGCTGAAAGGAGGTTTTATTCATAATTGGTAAACATAAACGAAAAGCCATAGTAGGCCAAAACCTCCTTTCTAAGGAGAGGCCTATGTCCAGCAGAGGACTATTAAAGGCTGTTGATGATGATGTGATGAACAATAAACTTCATAATTTGTGGAAATAGATTATATTTTAAATATAATACTTACTTTTTTAAATTAATATTATCAAAAATATTATAATAATTGCACCAAAAACATTTTGTGACTATGTAAAAAAACTTTGAACTGAAGCTGTAAAAATATATTACAAAATTTGTCTTATTTCAGCTCACATATTTTCAGCTATTTATTATTTTTACAATATCAAAGACTGTAGGTATAGATCTTCCTCTATAAAGATCGAATTTTCTGATTTCACAGTGACTAAGAGGGTATGACAAAATCAGATATATTCCAAAATTACATTTGAATCTGCACTGCAAAAATTTTGAATGAAAATTTGAATTTGAATCTGCACTGCAAAAAAAAAGAAATTAAATCGAGATGGTTTTTAAATGTTAATTTAAAAACTATCTCGATTTAATTTCCTTTTTTTAATTTTGTTACGGACTCACTCGCCGATCATAAAAATTTTGATTTTAGGCAGATCCAATGCTACAATAATCAGACTGCTGAAAAGCATATATATATATACATAAGTACATATATGTAGTTGTAGATAACACACATAAACACATTATTTATAATTTTGGCAGGCTAGTCGATCAGTAAATCTTATTTAAATTTTGAACTCAATTAGTCTTTAGCTTATAAAGTAAGAATAAACTGAGAAACATCGCAATTTAATTTTAAAAAATAACAAAATAAAAAATAACTTTGTTATCCATACTTATATTATAAATATGAAATTGAGTTTGTTTGTTTTTAACGCTTTCAGGCCTAAACCTAAATTTCTCCAAAGCAAAGCTACATTCGTAGCTTAAGTTTCAAAACTCAAAGTTCACAAGACGCATGTCTCAATTTTTGCGTAAATGAACAGCGTAAATAGCCTTAAATGCTAATTTCTTACTTAATTGGTTAAGTAAAACATTTTATAGTGGACGTGTCATACTAGACATCTTTATGTCTTTATTAAATGTAATAACTTGGCAATCGTAAATGGGAATGTTTGTGTAACTATGCATAAACGTTCGCTAATGCTGAGTTTAATTAAGACTTTCATATTAATTTTAACAACTATCACCGACTTTATCAATACAAATAATTATAATAAGCTATATTCTTTATTAAGGAAAAAACGATACAGATTATTACAATTCATGGGTTGTATTTTTTCAAATTTTCAATTTCCAAAATAAAAGTGTTTTGCAAGTCGATTTATAATAGGCGGCGTTTGAGGTGACAAACATAAAAAAATACAAACGAATTATGTAAATTGTATGCATGTTAAAAATAGTAGATTATTCTTAAAATGTTATGTGACTTCTGTTTCATGAATTTTGGTTACCCATATACCTATATCCATATACCCATATACCTATATCTAAATTCTAAAAAAACATCGCATGACGTATATGAACTGAAAACATAGACGGAATAGATTTAAAACTAAGAAATTACTAAATGGACATTACTTTAATAATAAACAACAAAATATCAACAAAATATTTAAACATGTGCTTTCCGAAAATCTATGCAGTGATATGCATGCATACATGCGAAATAAATTAAGATAACCGTTGGGGGAAGCGATATCGCCCACTATAATGAGGCGACCACGAGGCGATAACGAGAGCTATTACGCGCTACGCGGATTAGGGAGATGCGAATCGGATACATGAACTGTGGAACTAGTATTCCGAACACAACATACCTATCAAATAATAATAAAGTAAAACAAAATACAAAGAAACAGCGTACTGCATGTTTAATAATAATAATAATAATTTTATTTATCCAGACAGAGTCCATAGTGTTAGTGTACAGATTTTCTTACCCTATGTTAGTAGACTACAGTAGTACTATTACTATTTGTTGATTATTAAGCTTAATGGAGTATGGTTCTGACTAGGCTTTTAGCTTTGGCAGTTTTTAATAATTACTTAACACTTTAATGTCCTAGTTCGGTTATTATTTTAGAAAGATGCTTAACGCCACGTTTTACAACGCAGTAAGTACTTTCTTTCTTTCATGGCATTCCGCAATTATCAGGAGAAACACACTATGCGACCTGCCTAATAAGATTAAAATATTTGAGTTTTCGAAATAGAATGTTCAGTAGCAGAGGACCAACATAAGATCATAACTTACTAACATAGTCACAAGGACTACAAATCAAATCTAATATCGGTGTACCTATTCCATACAACACTCCGCTTAATACGCCACCCGTACAGTAACAAACATAAAAAAACTTGAAGTCTGTTAAATGAGTAAAGTTCGACTGTGAAATAACCTACCTGAGGCAATTAGGCAAGCTAAATCATTGCAAATATTTAAAAAACTAGTCACAAATCACTATTTGACATCATAGGGGAATTTGTGTTGCACCAAGGACTTCCTTTCTAGGGTATACCTGGTTCCCCGGCTATTAGCACCCGAGACGGCGTGCGGTTTTAGTCGGTTCGAGTCCGACATGCCACCGATAGGTGGTATACGAGGGGATTTCCGCACGGAAAAAAAGGGGGGAATTTGTGTATTTATGGACATCTGTATGTATGCATTTATATATTTTGTATATATTTAAGCGTATTAATTGTATGTATAGTGTAAACGTATGTAGTAACCTTATATTTATTTAAAAATTCATTATTTTCAACATATTGTAATAGAACATCGCAGGCTACCTTAATTTAAATTTGACTATACATATGTATAAAGGTTGTCTGTACCTAAGAGAACGCCGTGAGCGATAAGACCGCCTGTCGTTGTACCTAAATTTATATGAAATTTGTACAAATAATACTGCAGTGGTGTAAAATAAACAGATAAATAAAAAACAAAATAATATTTATAAAAACCAAAAGCAATTTAATATTTAAAAAAAAACAAACACAAGATTAGGTAATTGAAATGCCTTAGCATTGAAATAGGACAGCAGCAAATTTTAAAGCGAACGTTGGCAAGTCGAAACAAAATTATATTTTCCCATCGCGTAATTTTCCAATCCAGTCTGTTTACCAAAAACTATTATAAACCGACAGTTTCCTTTATTACACTATAATACACACGCGGTTATATTAATAAGCCATAAAGGCAGATGTAAATTTAGATATCTACATAATAATGTACGTTTTGATACAGTTTAAATTTTATTACTCAATAAAAAATAATATTAGATTTTAATATGTCATAAATATATCTTTTAATAGAGTAGTCTTCACAAAACTGGTAGTTTCAACATGCCACAAATTTGGGAATTTTATCGGAATACATTTCCTGCAATAAATATTACTTAATCTTGTTAATTAATGTTGATTGATCTTAGTCTAATTACATCTTATTATTCATCCGTAAAATTATTATTCATCTGTCTAATTAGAACTATATGTGGTAATAATTTGTGTAGATAAAATTCTAAAATGAAGCACGTTGATGACACGGCCCGTCGGTATTAGGGTCGGGTGATAAATATTTATGTGTTTACATGTTG